CCATCTTGACTTTTTCAATGCCCTCCCCCTGCCCCCAGGATCCACTCCACTGGAAATCAGATCAGCACAAAAGCTCTGAAGATCTGGTTGTTTCAGAACATCTTTCAGGTCTGGTGGCATGGTGGGTCCCCACCCTACAGGAGGTCTTTGTTATGGAGAACAGTCTTCTATGGTGAGATGAAGAATCAGAAGGTTTACTTATAAGCTGCATGGTTTGTTTTTATCGCATTATTTATTATTATTATTATTATTATTATTATTATTATTACGCTACTTGGAGACTTTGGGAGGAACCCTATCAGAATATGAGAAGGGAAATTATTGGTCATTAAAATCAGCTTATAGGGTTTGAGGATATTACAGGTAGTCCTCACTTAATGACCACTTGTTCAATGACCATTTGAAGTTACGATGGTGCTGAACAAGTGGTACTTACAACCAGTCCTCACACTTATGACCCCTGCAGCATCCCATGGTCACATGATCAAAATCCAGGCATTCGGTGATTGGCCCCCATTTCTGGCCATTGCGGTGTCCCACACGTGATCACCATTTGCGACCTTCCATGCCGGTATACCACAAGCAAAGTCAATGGGGAAGCTGGCAGAAAATCGGAAGACGCACTCAAGTGAAGTTCTTGCTTATCAAGCCACACAGTCTTTGCTTAACAACTGCCACAAAAATGCCAGAAATGCTGTCATAAGTTGTCGTGGTCATGTGGGGTCCTCTCTTAACAACCGTGTCGCTTAGTGATGGAGTTTCGGGTCCCAATTAGGGCTGTTTAAATTAGGACTACCTGTAGTCATCCACAGAGGGTGGTGATCAATAATGTCAAAATAGTGGACATAATTAGAAGACCAAAGCCCTGTCCATTTTCAATGGGCATTGCACACATTGCACATGGAATAACAGGAGTGGGGGCTTCAATTATCAGGTTGTGGGCATCATTTTTATGTTGTTCATTCCTTTCATGGCACTCCTGCCCCAAAGCCATCTTAGAGCAGACAAAGAACAATCTGTCCATAGCAACAGTAGTCCTGTAGCCTGTTCTTCCTACCTACTTATTATGAGTCTTCTCTGTGATCTTATTTCTACACTATTGGAACAAATCATATATCATTCCTACCTTGTACAATCAGCTTTGCACTGGATTGGCTATCGCCAATGTCACAGGTGTAGAGATCACTGTCATTTTCTTTTAGGTCCTTCACGATGAGTTGCAGGATAGTCCCTTTTTGGCTCATCTCATATTTCTGGCTCGCTTGAAGATCAACAATGCCTTTTCTCCAGCTCACAGTGGAAGCTGGCTTCTTGGTTTCACATGTAAGGACTGCATTTTTGTTCTCCTCCAGCTTCAGGTCTGAAAGGTCCTTGATGAAGCAGTTTCCAGCTTCTGGAAAGGATTAAGTCAAGGCTCCCATCAGACTTAGCAAAAGAAGTAAGTCAATTTATAATAACTGGCCAAAAGCATGAATTTCTGTGCCTGGGACTAAAGGATATAAATTTGTATAGAACGAAAATGAAGGATTTATCTTCTCTTTTCATCCCATTATAGGAGAGCATCAGCCAGAGAGTCACCAAGACACCACAAGAAATGGTTTAAATATTAGCTGTTTCATTTTTATTAAGAAATTGTTCTATCAACTGAAAATTAAAGAGGAATTCAGGAGGAAGTAGGATTCTTTGTAGAAAGACTCTAAATAATGGTGGTTTTATTGCCTGATTAGTTATAGAATTATAGAACTGTAGAGTTGGTCCTCAAACTCTTCAGCTCATCAATCCCTTCATGAAGTTTCAGATTTTTCATCAACCCCCAAACATTTTTAATATGAAAATAATTTAATAAATACGAATTTATCTAATAGTACTATGGATAATAAAGATAACAACATCAACAACAACAACAATAATAATGGATGGTCCCATTGACCCTTGGCCACTTTGAAGAACCCTGATCTAGTCCAATCCTCTGCAATGTGCAAGAAAACCATTTAAATCATCCTTGAGAGGCAACTGTCCAGCCACTTCTTAAAAACCTCCACAGATGGGAAGCCCACAACCTCTGTAGGTAGTTGTGTAGATCTTATAACCAAAACCTTTTTCTCTTGATAAACCAATTCTAGGTAGCTGCAATGTATACACCTTATTTCTGGTCCTCATCTCTGTGGCTCTTATTAAGAAAATCTCTATGGGTGAATATCTGACTGTTCTGTAAAGTAACTGTCCCATCTGGGCTGGAAACAGGTTTGAGGTTGGACCTTCAAGGAAGTCCAAGACTGTAGACTAGATGGGGAAGTCACAAGGCATCTCTGAAGAAGACATGAACAAAACAGTTCCACATTGTTGCTAAGAAAAGTAGACAGATGGAATCACAAAGAGTCAAATTCATGCTCCAACAGTTGGCAACACCTAGAAGACCTCAAGAAACCTAAGCAGGATCAAACCAGGTAGTATTCTAATGAAATACCATGAGAAAAGACCAGGTCTGTAGGCCAGGTTGTTGAAAATCCATCCTGAAAGAAGAGCACAGTAACCCCGTTGTCCACTGTTGCCAAGAAAATGCCACGTACATGTCCATGTAGTGCCAGGACTTGAAGATTTACTCTTCTTTTATTTTTAGTCATGCAGGAAAGTTTCTTCCCAATCAACCCCATCTTGCCCACTGAACCCTTGTCTGAAATGGCTCCATCACTGACCTTCCACAAATAGTGTTGCTTTGGTTTTGGAAAGTTCTGTCTGACAGGTATATTCGCCACTATCTTTAACTGTGGCATCATGGATTATTAATATTGCCCGTGTTCCTTCCTGACGCAGATCATATTTTTGGCTTCTCCGAATCTCTTGGCCATCCTTCTTCCACTTCAGGTTGTTATCCCATCTTGACAAGTCACAACTCAGGCTAACTTCCCGGCCTACCGTAGTTGACTTGTCCTCCAACTCTCTTATGAATTCTACTGGTTTTTCTGAGGGAAAGAAAAAGGACAATGTCATAGATATGACATGATAGTTGTGGTTGTATCTTGCACATCTACAGCAATTACAAATGTAAAACTTGTGCTGAATTATAGCCATACTTATTAAACTGCTGCCTGTGCAGCTTCACTATGTGTAAATTAACCCAAGAGGTTCCTTGACTCTCATGATTTGGTCCTGTCCTTCTAGGCCTTTGTGGAGATTTCAAGTCTTTATATATGGTAAAACAACTTTTGGGGAAAACACAGCAGTTAAATACGTAAATGTGATGTTGAATTATAGCCACAAATTATAGAATTTGACCTGAAAAACTCTGATTCTACTGAACCTGAGGTTCAACAAAAATATTCTCCTACGTAGGTGAAAGAAATCAACAAATGTTAAAGAATGACTTCCAGAGATGTGTTCCCAGTCAATTTCTGAAACGTCTTTAGATTGTAAAAAGGAGCAGCTGGAACAATGTCTTTCTCTGTAGTCTCAATTTAGTAATATGATAAAGGATTGATCTCTTATATTAATATTATATGGATCTTTTTTAGTTTTAGTTCATTTTAATCACAAGTATGTATTGATTTCTTTTCTGATTTTATTATCACGGTATTATTAATATTATCTTGCCCTGCTCTGAAGGGCTGACCCAAGGACCACCTCAAGGATCAATTGAATCTGTTAGATTTCATCACCACCACCGCCACCACTTTCCTTGGAGGGAAGTTGGGGGATGGCAGGATCAGACCAGGAAAGGGATTCGCAGCTGGAGGTAGAAGCAGGGCTGATTCTAGACCCAGGCAACCTAAAGCAGTTGCCTTGGGCACCAAATGTCATGGGTTACCAACACTGAAAAGACTTCCAAAATACACAATATGAGTATAGGTAATGGTTTGTGGGAATGTCTTTGAGAGACAGGAGGAGGAAGAGCCACAGCCAGGGCCACAGTCAGATAAGAGAGATCTCAGCCCACCGTAGGAAAAGGGACATGGGAAGCATCTCAGAAGGGACCTTCTGAGGGCAAGGGGGGAGAGATGTGCTTTCATACTTGCACGATTCTGTTACTGTAACCTTTCACCAAAGGTAGTATTAGTACTCATGGTTTTGGTTTCTTGTCTGGGCTACCTCGAAGGGCTGACAACATAAAACGTGTTAATCTTTCCTCGTTGCTTTAGGATTTTTTCTTTCTATGATTTTTGAAAACACCCACAAAGTCGGTCAAGTGGTAGCGAACAGCACACTAACCAGACGTTGCAAGTCACGTAAAAAAATATTATTATTACAGGAAGCGGATACTATTACTGAAGCAAGACAAAGGTCTGAGAAGAAGGTACTGAGCGAATGAGTTGCATGTCTATCAGCTTATTGAAGCTATACCCGGAAAAGTGATAATGGTGCACTCTGTGTGCCAGCTTGCCCGCTTGAGGGTTAAATATAATTTCGCAGCATTGTTGCCATAGGACAACAATGGGTGCAGATGTAATTAAAATTGTGCTTCAAGTAAATAGGGTGAAAATATCCAAGAAAAGAAAAAAATTGGAGGTGAAAATCGTAACTGTAAAGCTCAAACACTTAAAGAAAAAAAAGAAACCAGGCGTCACCTTTTTGAAATTCGTAACAAAATCAGAAGATGAGCCAAACTGCAGGGGCCTCCAGAAGATGACTTGGCCTAGGGCATCGAAAGGTCTGGAGCTGGCCCTGGTAGAAGGCACTTCGACTCAGCAGAGAGGAAGAAGCAATACCGTTGGAGGGAGCCACTGTGGACCATGGAGTCTTATCCCATGCTCAGCGTAGGAATTCAAGTCAAAGCATCGTTGCAGGATTAAAAAATGGCAGTCATGTCCCTGTGGTCAACACCACACCCCTTTTCATGTGCAATGTGCGTAAAAAAGGGTGGGGTTTTGATTGCACAACTGCTGCTGTCATCTTGACTTTTTTAACATATATACACACTCCCTGTGGACACCGTGAGAGAGGGCTTTCCAGCCTCTGCTTGAATATTGAAAATGTTCCCACCACCTCTCTGGGCCGCTGATTTGACCATTTGACCATTTCATTTACAGATAGTCCTTGACTTAATGACCACAATAGGGACCGGAAAATTCGTCATTAAGCACTGTGGTTGTTAAGCAAGGCATCACATGACCACACCCAATTTTACAACATTTTTGCAGTGGTCATTAAGCAAATCACCAGTCATTAAGTGAATCATGTGGTCATTAAGTGACTCACACAGTTGTTAAGTGAATCACGCAGTTCCCCACTGATTTTGTTTGTCAGAAGCCGGCTAAGAAGGTTGCAAATGGCCATCACATGACCCTAGGACTCTGCAACCATCATAAATACATGCTGGTTGCCAAACACCCAAATTTTGATCATGTGACCACAGGGATGCTATGATGGTTGTAAGTGCGAGGACCAGTTGTAAGTCACTTTTTTCAGTCTCATCGTAACTTTGAACAGTCCCTAAACAAATGGTCATAAGTCGAGGACTACCTGTATTCTTGCTTTAAGAAAACATTCCTAACATTCACTAGGAATTTGCTTTCTGCTTACTGAAGAGAATAGATTGTTCCCTTCTGGGTGTGACATCCTTCTGGTATCTTAATAGGGCAATTATATCCTCCCAGTTAAAACTGGTTAGCTGGAAATGGTGCTCCAGCAAGGATGGTTGCTAGGCTGGTTGGTGATTTCATGGGCCTGTCTACATACTCAAAGTTATTCTAGTATAACAATAGCTCCCTGCTACAAACCTTTCACAACAAGTGAGGCTTTGGATTTTAAGTCACGGACAGAAAACAACACTTCTCCAGCATCAGTAACAAGGGTTTTCTTGATGGTGAGGGTATATTTCCTTCCTTTGTTGAAGGCTCTGAACCTTGCATCATGGCCCACTTCATTCCCATTGATAAGCCACTGACAACCTTCCACCCTTTCATGGGAGAGAATGCATTCAAAGCTACAACTCTCCCCTTCTTGGACTTCAACGCTCTTTAGACGCTTTGTAATGCCAATATTAAGCTCTGTGGGGAAAAAGAAGCTGATTAAGTAAAAAACAATTAGCTAATTTTTACGACCCTCAATAAATAATTCGAAATTTCCCTACAGGATGAAATCTTCAGATGGACTAAAAATCCAGAAAGTCCAATGGAATTTCAATGGAAATCTCCCATGGGAAAGTACATATTGTTCATCTGGATTAGCTTATGTGAATACCAAAGATCTTCTTGAATCCAATGACATAGAGGTATCCATGGGGGAGCAGTCAAAAATGGCAGCTGCAACCACGTAATCAATCAAAGGTCCACCCCTTTTTTACATATGTCCCAACACACTCTTAAAAAGGACAGGACTTATGTCCCACAGTTGCAGTCACCATCTAGACTTTTTTGATCTCTCTCCGTGGACACCCCTTCATAGGAAGCCATACTGTGGTCAACTTCCAAGGAAGGACCTGGAATATGGCAAGTCAGTGAAGCCCAACAGGATGTTCTTTTGGAAACAGTTTCTGTTAATCAGAGACCATACCATTTTGTCACTCTTCCAGAATTAGAAAAAACATGGGAGTGGTACTTCTCTTAGAACAAAAGTATGCTTTGAGTGCTAAAAGCATGCTCTTGACATGCTAGCTCACCTCTGTTAGAACTTTAAAGTGCTAAAAGAAAGCTTTGGATGGCACACCATCCTTCTTCTACTTTCAACAGTCAGAGCATTTATATAACCAACGATGCATTGCCAGTCTAGTCCATTGAAGACATTATAATTAAATTTTATTAAGCAATGAAGACCCCAAAATGACAGGTAGACCAACTAGCAAAAAAAAAAAAGGGGGCGGTGGGTGTAAAGAAGAGTTTTCCATTCTTTGTTGCTAATTCCAAGGGCCCGCTAAAGGAATGAGAAAGTCTGGAGCAGAGTTTTTTAACCTCAGCGACTTCAAGATGTGTGGACTTCAACTCCCAGACATTCCCCAGCCAGCATGACTGGCTGAGGAATTCTGGGAGTTGAAGTCCACACTTCTAAAAGTTGCTGAGGTTGAGAAACACTGCTCTAGGTCTTGCAATCTGTTGAAGCTTCACAAAGGACAGGGTGCGGTGGGGAAGGACGATCATGATGGATTTCCTTTGGAAGACAAGGACGAGTGTAACCCCAAAGAAATAGCTAAGATCATCTCTTTCATAATGGGGACACACTGATGCACCCCACAACTGTAAAGGATTTTAGAGCTGACCTTGGAGAAGGTATGAAAAAACTGATAAGGAGGGACCTGCAGAAACTATGCCACCGTTCGGGAAAAGAGGAAAGCATGTTCAAGAAACTCAAAATAACCCCATCTGGATTTTGTTGAGCAGAAGACGGGAGCTCATGAAACAGACACCACAAGGATTCCAGGAATGCTCTTCTTTATTGTTATAGGATATAGTAAAGAATCTTTAAAGTCTGACCAAGTTTCTCTGAGTCCCATCTTATTATTTTGTTATTTTGAGTTTAATTCTCATGTTTGCATCAGTCTCTGGACTGCGTCGTCTTTTCTGCAAGTCCTTCTGTAACAGTTCTTTCATACCTTCCCCAAAGTCACCTCAAAAGTCAATAGCCAACATTTATCTTAACACATGAATCCTGCTTCCCTTTTCCTTGTCTTGAAGGTAAAGTACTCTAGTGGAACATTCGTCTCCTACCAGAAAAAAAAATTCTCTATAGAAAAGTGATATACAACAGAAACCAAACCAACCAACAGTATGGCTTGTCTGTGCTGTGTAACATTCTAATATATCAGAAGACTTGGAAGGAAGGGAACAGAAAGAGCAATTTAGGGTGGTTGATTTGCCCATGGTGTGGAGTCAACTCTGATCCACCTCTGTGGCTTCATCAGGCATGGAGTGGACTGAGTGAGAGTCAGAACTTCTCCCACATGATGCCCTATAGTTGTGCTGGACCAACTCCCATAATCCTTATCCTGCACTGATTGTGGAAGTGAAAGACCAATAGATCTGGAGGCCCACCGCTGGAAAAGAGTGGTGAATGATTATTCACCTAATTCAACAGTTCTTGACCTCCCAATTCAGAGCCTGTACCTTGAATGATGACTTTAGACTTGGCGACATCCGTGCCAAGATCACATGTGTACCATCCAGCATCATCCTTGCTGAGATCCCGGATGATGAGCCCCAGAGATTTCCCAGACTGCAGCATCTCATATTTGTCTCCTGGGGTGAGTTCCACCCCTTCCTTTTTCCACACAGGCTTAACCTTCGGTTTTGAGACTTCACACTCCAGCGTGACGGTGCTTTGCTCCTCTGCAACCACATCATCCAAAGATTTCATGAAGACGGCGGGCTTCTCTGAAGAAGATTGCAACAAAGGCGGCGTGGTTAGGATCGAACGTTTTGGAAGCCCTGCAATCTGGGATTAGCAACTTGGTGTGCACCTGGACTCCTGCAGAAGTATTCAGCAATAGTATATGTATGCATATTTGTATATCTATATGTGTGTGTATACACACATATACACACACACACACAGAGATGTATTAATAGATAATAGGCTACCCAGAGCACCTGAAAGCCAAGGGTCATATCTTTAGTTCTTAGGAATGTCTGTAAATGGAGAAGAAGATAAAGAAAAAATTGAGTGTGGGGAGGGGGCAGTGTAGTTGGGAAAAGCTCTTGAAGGAGGGAACAGGAGTCAGAGCAAATGGAGACCCCTGGGGGCTACTTCAAAGGAATAGGAAGGACAGTATGGAGAATGAGTATGTGTGCATCACATATGTGCCTATGTGTTCTATGTATATTTTCTGACTCTGGTCTTCAGTGTAGGAGTGGGGTTTATGGAGTTTTCCTTCCCCGACAGGCCCATCCATCAGGCCCATCCAGGCCCATCCACCAGGAGAGGGCTCCAAGAAGTCAACATGGTGGCCACAACCATGCAGTTGAAGCCCTGCTTCTTTTTTCCATTCAACACACATTAAAAAGGGGTGGGTCGCAACCACCAGCTTGATTTTTTGACCTCCCGCTCCAGCAGGCTCCAGTGTTCCTTGATAGGGTAATTCAACATGATTTAGGAGTTTGGTTATTTATCTTTTAAATTGCTTTTATGTTTTAACATTTCGGATGTTGCCTAGATGTTGTCACTTCAGCAACTGAGGAAGGTTATAAATCAAGTAAATAAATTAGGAAGGCGCCTAGGGTGTCCGCAGGGTATGGTCAGAAAAAGTCAAGATGGCAACTGGGATGGTATGACTGAAGCTCTGCATTTTTTTATTTGCATTTCCCACACCACAACATAAAAAACAGGGCTTTGATCACCCCAACACAGCCGCCACCTTGACTTTTGTGACCATACCCTGTGGATACCCCTGGAAGACACACACACACAGAAACACAGACACCCTCACACAGCGCCATTATTGACAGGGCCAATTTCATGGAGGGACTTGTTTGAAAATGTGCCTGTACATCTTCATTGCGCTGTGCTAGTTGTGGCATAATGGAAGTTGCCCAACACATTTCCTGAGCACCAGATGGAAAAAAGTGATTATTGATACATCTGAGTACATGCACTGTGAATAATCACACATTTCTCTCCTCTTCTCCTTGCCTGCGCATTCTCTCCCTTCTACTGCTTCTAGGTAGGAAGGGGGACCTGACTTTGTAAGATGGCAGGCATGCAAATAAATAGAAGCAGTTGTAGCAGGAATACTGCTAGGAACCAGGAAAACTCTCCTGATGTGACCGGCCCTCCAGCACCAGACCCAGATGAGGAGAAGATTAACAGAGATGAAGCAAACCAAACACTGGGATGTCCTTTGACCAGGGAGCAGTTCTGTTGTGGCCTGAGGGTGTACCCTTGGATTCCATCTGTTAAGATGGAGAAAGGACATCCCTCAAACCACCAAGGTGCCCAAGGTCCTCAAGGGCAAAGGGAGAAATAGGGGCTCACCTTTCACCTTCAACCGGGCACTCTCTGAGACTTTCTTCTGGACCTTGACTGTCACTGTCCCGCTGTCTTCCGGCATGACGTGCTTGAGGGTCAGGCTATGGGACTTGCCCAACTGCTTTATCTCATTGAAGTTGTTTGGGAAGAGGTGGGTGTCATTGAGAAACCATTCGACATCCTCACTGTCTTCAGACAACTCACAGGAAAAGGCAGCACAGCTCTCCTCATCAACTTCCACATCCTGCAGATGTTTGGTGATCTCCACTTTGCGTTCTGTTGCAAGAAAGAAAGAGTCAAAGATGAGACTCCACCGCCTTACATTGCCCCATTCCAAATACCACCTGGTAAATCCTTCCACACATTGTAAACTTTGTATTTCACCTGCTGCCTATCTTCTTTCAGTTTGTAAGTTTTCATGGAAACGTCAAATTACTTCAAAGAATTGGAGAATTGGAGGCCTATCTGAAGCAGAAGCTTTTTTTCCAAATATTGCAGGCTCAGCTTAAGATAGGTAGCTCTCACCCTTAGCAAAAGATATCTTTTTCCTCTTACCTGAGACTCCCCAAAAACCTATGAAAAACAATTCCTTCCCTGAACCCTCACCATGTTGCTCCCATCACTGTTTTCTACAAACCATGTCCTTATGTGAGCTCCCTTACACTCCCTATTCTAGCAAGACAATGTTTATGCTACACACTCTTGTCTAAATGTGGTGCAGGTAGTCCCCAGTTGAAGAACAAGGTCCATTCCCAAGGTCTATCCTGAAGCTGAATTTGGATGTAAGCCGGAACAGTATTATTGTATCATACTGTATAAATAGTATTGTGTAATGAACTTGAACTCTTGTGTACTGAACTTGTACACAATTATATTGGTTCCGGATACCACCCATGACAACTCACCATCTCCAAGAATCTATCAATTCCTCTCTTAAAATCATCCTCACAATTGATGGCCATCATCACATCTGATGACAGCCAATTCCAGTCTAACTCTAGTGTTTTATGAAAATGTCCTTCCTTGTCCTGGATTGAAATGTCATGATTTCTTTTAGTTTTTCCTATAAGGTCAAGGGGGTAAACCTTAGTTTTCTAAGGGCAAACCTTCTTGTCTTCTACACGCAAAGAAGGACAATCCCCAAAGGCACCATCCCATCTACATACCCAAAATGGTCAGTGTGGCTTTAGTCTCTGCGCTTCCAGCTTTGCATCTGTAAACACCAGAATCCCCAACAGTCAGCCTCAGGATTTTGAGTTCAGCGGTGAACTTTTCCCTCTTGAACTTAAATTTCTCAGAGGGCTCCAGCAGGGTATGGTTTCGGTACCACTCAACCTCCTTTGGGGATGGCTTGAAGTCACAAGAGAGGACCACAGAATGGGTTTCCAGGACAGTCTTGTCTTCTAGTGGCCTGGTAAAGATCACTGGAATTTCTACAGAGAGAAAGTTAAGAAGGTCAATGTCTAAGCTAAGAGGAATCCTCAGAATCAGAGGATTGAATCAAGCTGTAAAGCAACCTCTTCCAACTAGATAATCCTTGTGGTCTCTCATAGCTCCACAACTCTATGCTGCTGTGAACTCGGCACCTCCAAATAGGTTAGAACTGCAATTCCCAGAATTTCAGCCAGCTTGAGGCCATGCGGACTGATAATTTTGGGAATTGTCATCCCAGCCCATCTGTGTATGTCGGGTTCAGCCCAAAGAACTCCACGAGACAGTACAGGTCTAGTTCGATAGCTTTTATTAGCTTCCATCTACAAGACAGAATCTCGCCAGACTGAATCTAAACTTC